AATACCTGCCTCTGCCAGAGATTCAGTGCAATTAAAGATAAGGAGTGAAAGAAGTTTATAGACTTCAACAAGTCTAAACTTTTCTCGCATTTCATTTTTTTCTAATTAGCAGGCATCAGTAACGTGTGAAGAGTACTCGGCCGTAGGGAGAGTTTTTTGTGCACAGTCAGTGCAACCCGAGAAAGTTCAGACAATAGCTAAGGAAGGCTCTCATTCTTTGTCCAATCTATCATGACAGCTTCATTTTAAACTGCGATAAAATGATGACCAAAATATTTGATTTTCTATACAGGTGCTTTGACATGCAAAGGCAAAGTTTACAGCTGCATATTCAGGAGAGAAATATTGGGGTTGTTTGGAACCCTAGATCTGAAAATGATACTCAGTAATAGTACTCATAGTAAGAAAGACTCTAACCATTAATGTTAGTTTATGTCATGGTATTGCATAAACGTTTGTGTCTATGTAGTACCTACTGTGTACTAGGCATTGCTGTTTTATAAATATTAACTTATTTGTAATAACAGCTCTATGGGGATGATTCTATTGTTTCTCCCATTTCACAGAAGTGCTCAGGCTCAAAAGGTTAAAAGACAGACACACAGTGAAGATATGGTAGAACTAGGATTCCACTGCATAGGTCTAGCTCCAGCACATCATTCTGCCTCTCTAGAAAAATCAGACAGAAATGTTAGGGTCTGAAAATTTGGAAGATAGTCCCATCTTTGACTCAGTGTTCACGATGATAGTAATAATTAGTGTGCATTAGCAAAGATATAGGTACAAGAATATCCACTGAAGTGTTATTTCTAATAGTACATGTACAAAAAGTCCACCCAGATGTCCATAGTTTGGGAATGATTAAATTAGGTAAAACCGTCATCATGCCAATGCCAAGCAGCGGATCTGAACTATGAGGTGGAAGAGTGACCACTAACGTGGAAAGAGGACTAAAAGTGGATGAGAAAAGTCTTTTGCAAAACAATATGTTTAATTTAAGGCTATTTTTGTCCAGAATTTTAATGATATTAAGACTAGTGTGTACTGAGAAAAGAAAACGCAGGTGAACCACACAGCTGCTAGTTGGCATCATGGGGTGCACCGTTTCGGAGTGCATGCATTTCCAGTGATACAGTCACTCATTTACCACGTGTCTACTGGAAGTCTGCTACACACCAGGTACCAGATACTGAGGCTGTGTATAAAACTTTCAATCTAGTTAGAGAAGAAGGAAAACTGTCAATGAAACAAAGTCACATGTGAATTTTGATAGGCAGAGAGCCTGTGATTTTTATAATTAATACAGTTTTTTTTTAAGATAAGAAAAAGGAGGAACCCATCGCCAAAGAAAAGGGAGGCAGGTTCTGGGAGGGTCAGCAGCCCTTCTACTCTTAGAGGATGGATGGGGAGGTAAGAGGCTGGTAACCAAATTAAAGTTGATGGAGTAGATCTCATTCATTGGTCCATCAAATCAAGTCCAGGACATAAAGTGTGATTTAGTAACTTACATGAGCACTCTCCAAGCAAGTGACTGTGACTCACCACCTACACACACAAAGAATTTGATTTTCTGATTCACATACCTTTCCCTGACAGTTATTTAAACAAAAATGTTGACTATTTTGTCTGCTTTATGACATGAACCTCCTTACCAGGGAAATCGCACCATAGGAAGCAGTATATTAATACTTGTTCTTTTACATTTAGAAAATGATGACTTCTCAAATAGAATAGGTTTGTCCATTTGTATAAAATCATTGGTGAAATAGGAGTTAGGGTCAGGCATGTTATTTAGTTTTTTATCAATAATCTTTGTTTTATTATAAGCCACAAAGTTTACATTACTCAGATTTATTGACTTATAATGTAAAACAACAAAATTAAGTAGCACGTTGGAACAGGGTACCTATTTTATTCAATGTCATGCTAATAAGTGGTTTCCTGTTTTTCTTAAGGACAATCTTTAAGCATGTTGCAATGTTGAAGTTTCTAAAATTAGGCTGAAATTTGGTTGAAATGGTATAATGATGGCTATACTTAATTGAATCATTCCCAAACTGTGGACATTTGGGGGGATATTTTGCATGTGTGTTATTAGAAATAACACTTTAGTCTTTAAAATTAGCAGAAGAACAAATAAACCTCTTCACTTTTTATGATAAAAGTTGTCTGAAAACCTTGAGCATGTTCACATATTGAAGGCAGTTCAGCCAGTTTCTCCTGAGTGCCATCCCTGTGCTACCTACCACTGAATGTGGTATGGCCTCTGAGCTCAAGAATTCTTAGTCCAAGCAGAAAGGTAGCTAATTAAAACAGAAGAATAATGCAAACCAAGGGAAGGCTATTTGTAAGTGTTAAGGCATTCTGAGGAGCCAAATCAGGGTTACTACTGGTAGATAACATTCTTCCTAACCTGAGAGTACCCCCCAAGCAGGTAGACATTTCATGATCCATTCTGTATTGAAGCCAAGTGGACAGGGAACCTTCTGGGAATAGTAAGTGTGTTCAGCCTAAATTTCTGTGAATTAGCAACCCTTTCCCCCAAGGTCCCTCAGAACTATCTGGGTGGTTAGGAGACACTGATGACACCAATTACGTGGCCACAGAGTTCTCATTTTCCAAGCTTTGCTTTTCTCAGAGCCAGACCAGATAATAAGCAATTACCTCTTATTGGGACAATACATGCAGGAAATAAAAGACCTTTTAAAAGTAAATCACCGAAAATGTGTGTGTGTGAGATTGTGGATGGAGGCAAAAGGGTGAATATGTCATGTCCCCTCCTCCAAGCATATTTGAAGTTCCTGTTCTACTTCTGTGTCTACAAGGCATGATGAAAACTATAGTGAGAATTAAAAAATTGTAAAAATTTATTACAGTAAATTTATTACACATTGCCATGAATCATTGCCAGAATCCTCTCTCTCACTCCAAAAACTTGACCCATCATTCTCACCAATTTCTGAGGCACTTCTGGAAGTACTGTTTCATGAGTGTTCTTCAGCTATTGTGGTTCCATCGAAGTCCTGAATAGATTCTAAGCACTGACCTTTCATGGTCATTTTGACTTTGGGGAAGAGCCAGAAGTCATACCTTCCCCAGTCTGGTGAATAGATGGATGAGGACACACCATGATGTTTTTGTAAGCCTGCCTTTCCATTGGCTGGGACTTGAAAGCAGCATTTACTGTATGTTTGATCATACCTCACAAAGACACTCATGAAAGAGGACTTTCAGAGCTGCTTTAGAAAGCAGCAAGAATGATGGGATGAGTGTGTTGGAGGTGAGGGGAGCAGCTTGAGGGGGATTAACAGAGATATGCCTTTTACTGTAGCAATTTTTAAAATTTAAACATTTGCCCTACATTATGACCACTCTGTGTGTGTGTGTGTGTGTGGTACACACTTGTACCTATGGCTATCCCAGTGTGTGTGTGTGTGTGTGTGCATGTGTCTTGGTTACTTTTCTCTCATTGCTGAAACAAAATACCCAGTGCCCAAAATTAAGGAAGGAAAGCTTTATTTAGCTCACAGTTTGGGGAGGTTTCAGTCCATAATCAGCTGGCTCCAAGGCAGAGTGGCAGGGCAAAGGAGCAACACTTCAAGGTGGCACAAGACAACAAAAAGCAGCAAAAGCAAAAGGGAGGAGCAGAGGCAAGCAACCTCTTTCCCTTCCTTACATTGTATGCAAACTACCTGCCCCAGGGCAGGGGTAGCACTCAGACCCATAATCCCAACATTGGACCATGAATGAATCATAAACTCTAGAAGCCCACCCCATAACTGCGTGAGGCTTTGGGGCAATCCAGATACAAACCATAACAGCATGTGTGCGTGTAGATCATACTGTAATACATATACATATTTGTCACCTATTATCATTCAGGGAAGTTTAAAAATTAGAAGCCATCAGTTATATTTTCCATATTAAGATTTAAAACAAAACCCAGCAGTTTAAAAAAAAAATAAAGTCAACAGAGGTGCCCTTATTTCCTTGCCAGGGAAGAGTCAGCCAGTATCTCAAGCCCTAAAGTCACTGGGTCCCCAGCTGGAGGCAAGACTGCAAGGAGACATTTGCTTTGATCGCTTTCTGGTTAGCAAGAGCAAACTGTAAGCGTTTCTTAGAGGCGTTGTCTGTTTTTTCTCTTAGGACATAAAGGTATAGGCTCAGTTTTTAAAGACCTCTAAGAGGCTCAGGATCATGCAGCAGATTCTTTGAGGTGGATGTGGTTGGAACTTGGCCAGATTTTTTCCCTAGTGCTCAAAGGAGAACCACACACTAATCAACACATTGGGTCCTGCTGTGTGTGTGCATATTCCAGATTCTTCCTCTACCATCTGGCTCCTACTTTGTCTCAGTGTCTCCTCTACATCCAGGTACTTCTTGGTGTCACATGCAGATGAAAAACAAAAATACTCCAAGTGTTTTCCAGCACACTGAAGGTTTCCAGCAAACCTCCTTTTTGCAGGTTCTGAAGTTTCTAAGATGGGATTCATGTACAAAATACAAGTGCAGCTAGTACCTCTGAGAAATAATTTGATTTACAGAACTTATGCTCATGATTAATGTTGAGAGTCACGTCTGTATAAAACAGGCTCATGGAATCATGCTGTGTTCAACTTGCCTAATTGCATTAACTATCAGACTTCCACTATTAGAAGAATGAAGGCTGCTTCATTCTTTTCTATCTTCTTTTGGGGTACTGAGGATTGAACCCAGGGCCTTTGCACTGAGCTGTGCTGAGCTGTATCCCTCACTCTTTTTAAATTTCAAAACAGAAATATAGTCTCCTTTAGTCATTAAGTTGCTCAAGGGTGGGCTCAAACTGGGGATCCTTCTGCCTCAGCCTTTCAGAGTGCTAAGATTTCAAATGGGCAATATTCCTTCTGGTTTCTAATCTTTTTTTCTAAAATCCTAAAGTGAAACGAACAGAAGATAAAGCACATAAGACATTGGCCATTGTGCTGATCTCTCTTTCTCTCTTTCCTGCTTCTGTGCTCCAGGTGGGAGAGTTCAGGGCCCACGCTGCTGAGTGGACAGCCAATGTCACGGCTGAGTTCAAAGAAACACGGAGGCGGCTGAGTGTGGAGATCTATGACAAGTTCCAGCGCGCCACTTCCATTAAGAGGAAGCTGTCTGCAGAGCTGGCAGGGAACCACAACCAGGAGCTGACCCCATGCAGGAGGACCCTGTCGGTGAACCACCTGACCAGCGAGAGGGAAGTCCTGCCTCCCTTACTGAAGACTGAGAGCATCTATCTGAACGGCTTGACGCCACACTGTGCGGGCGAAGAGATCGCGGTGATTGAGAACATTAAGTAGCCCTCTATTCGGAAGAGCCTTAGCCCTAGCCCTAGGTGAGGACTTCTCTCTGCGCTTTATGACTGTTGCTGGTAGCAGTTTAAACATTGTGCATGAGCTCCAAAGGGAAGCCAATAGGTCCACCCATCACGGTCATCTGCCATCAAGAGAATGAGAATCCTGAGCCAGCACTCTCTGAGGTTGCTTATGGGACACTCCACTTTGACCAGCGGAAGGACAAGCGATGTCTGATGCCTTGCTGTGCCCAGACTGTTTTCCTCCCCTTTTTCCTAACGTGCCATAAGGCCTCGGAGTGAATGAGAACTGTTTTTGGTAATGATGTAGCTTGGAAGGATCAGTCCCCAATTTTTCAGGGTCCACCTAACTGAGCCTAGATACGGACCATTTGTGGATGACAACATTTCTTTTTGTAAATGGCAAGAAGTTCTTATGCAGCCTTTTACCTAAGAAATTTTCTGTCAGTGCCTTATCTTACGAAGAAACAGAACCTCTGTAGCTAATGTGTGGTTTCCCTCACCCCGCCCGGCTCACCTCCTCCACTCCTTTCCCCCACGCTCCCGGTCCAGGTTGAATACCGTCCCTTGCTGGACATAGTGTGTCAAAGGACTGAACTGGTGGTCCTCGAACAGGGGGTAGATGCCAAATTAGAAGGACAAAGAAGCAGCACTCAGAAACGCTAGTGATAAAGGCACTGCAGAGAAAGAGGTGCAAAGGTGGCCCCTCTGAGTATTTATTTGACTCAGGTACCAGCGGTACATGTGTATGGTGTAATTATTACCAAGCCGGTAACCTTGGCTGTTCACAAACTGTCCCTTTTATCCTGGCAGTATTTGGAACCTATCATTTATTAATAATTATACATTTTTAAAAGTAGAAGAAAGTATATATATATATACATATACATATATATATGTATATGATCTGATGGAAGAAAACTGTTAAAAATGGACATTATAGAGGAGATCTAAAATAGTTGCTATGAATTCATTCTCATGAAAAGAAAATAGCAAAACTATATGTTACAAGGATTTGCTAATAAACATTGTACTGCCAGCTTCTTTTACTTTTTGATGTCTGAAAGGCTATGATTTTTTTTTCCTGAGTGACTTTTGCCAAATGAAGGGGAGGCCCTCTGAGGGGTGGAGGGACAGTTCCAGCCTTCAGGGGTCACTTTGAGTCATGACTAGTGACAGCACAAGCTGAAGCTGGGATCACTGTGATTTGCACATGGAGAAGTACAGACTGCGGGAAGAATTCATTTCTGGCATTAGGGGAAATGCTGTTATAGCACAATTTAAATATTGAAAGTCTTTTTTTTAAGATAGAAAAGGCTAACAATCCTTTTTAGCTTAATGTTATACCTTGTAATTTTTTAGGTGTCCCCAATATTCAGAAAAAATTCAGTAAATGCACCCAGTATAATGCTACCTTTTCCTTTTATTTCATACTTAGGTCTGCTGTACATTGATAATTTTTAAAATGCAGAAGGAAAATGATTTCCCTAACTATAATTGCAAAACAGAGTTCTTTTACCTTTTCTTGAGAGCTGGGGAAGGAATAGTTGAAGAAGCGGCATTCAGAAGAGGGTATTAAAAAAAAAAACAAAAAACCCAGAATCTTTAAAAACAAACTAATAGATGCTTATTTTCCCAAATTTAAATTTAAGGTAGAAATGTAAATACTCAGTTAACTTGTTAAAGGTACTTTTATAAATCTAAAAAAAATCTAACCAAAATTTTAGAAAGTCAGGCTCTTTTAGAAAGAATGCTACACCCATTTCCTCAATAACTGTCTTGAAAGTTCATATGGTGGAATGCACCATTTATAAACTGTGAATTGTATCGATGAATAAAGTTTGTAATTAAAGTCAGCATTTTCTGAGTGTCCTGCTTGCTGCTGAGAATTTAGAACTGATTCTAGCTGAGTAGAGCTACAGGATGCCACTTTTCACACTGAATTTTTTGTGGCTCTTTCATTCAAAATATTTAGGACATATTTTTGATGTAGTAATACTACCCTTAGCAAATACACACCAAGTATTCTTTCTTTGAAGGCTATTAATCAAAAATAAATATGCTGAAGTTCATGTGTGAAATAAGACTTTTAAATAGCATATAAATTCAAGAGTGTTTCCATTACATTATGATATTTTTATATCATATTTTATCGTTAGACTTTGCCTTGTCACTGAAGTAGCCTGAATGCTGAACAGGAGCAACTGATTATTTTTTGTTAGAAAAATAACTAAGCATCCTGGTAGTATTGAAGCTCAAAAGTAGGCAGTTGCCAACCAGTTTCTAGACCTTATACCTCAAGTGTATGAATTATTAATCTTATCAGTGTCCCACATAAGTGTGTTGATTCATTCTTAAAGAATTCAGTGCTCAGTAAAGATCTGAAAACTGGGTCAAACATTATCCTCACTCATCTATTGCATCAATTGACAGCACTTTTATGTTCTTAAGCTTTAAATGTTTACTCTGATGGGAAGAATATTGGTAATGATCTTGACAAAGCCTGGAATTTTCTAGTGATTTTATTTTTCCGTGGTCCACTGTAAGAGTAACTAGTTTTGCCCTGAAGAAAAACTAAACATTAGAACCAGACAGAATCAGAAATACCCTGATTGTATTCTTAAACATGGATTCTAGGTAATGCTCTTTATCCAACCTCAAACCGCTAAGAGTAAAAATGATGCTTTCAGATTGCCTTCATTTTTTGCAGAGATCTGTATACTTTCTCCCATACTTTATGTTATGCCACACCTTTTTTCTCCAATATTTCACCCTTCCAGTGAAGGAACAAGAAATTTCTGAAGCCAAAAGTCAATTGAATCATATGCATCTTGGCCTTTCAAAAAGAAAGAAAAAAGAAAAGAAAAGAAAGCAGTGTGTAGGGCTTTGTTTCTTTCTCAAGTTCCATGGAACATGACATGTAAGAGATACCAAATCCTGTATATGTCAAATATCAGTATGATTCTTTGATTCTTGAGTCTGAAAGTTTAAAAAGGCTAAAGGAAACTTCAGATGGAAAATCCAAAACCAAATTTAGACATTCTGAAGACTTGAGATTCTATTTATGCCTAAGAGCTAAAGGTCTAGATCAAGTTTTGTTTGTGTCTTACTTCTTTACAGTTTTGCTGTTCTCCTAAAATCATAACTTATTTGTGGTTTGCATTTCTTATCAAAGTGTGAGTATAAATTTGTTGCTGTATAAAGATGTCTCTATTTGAATCTCATAACTATTAAAATTAATATATGATTTGCTTTGCTCTAGCGTGAGTTTACTGAAATGTTATTTTATAATGAAACTTCCTGGCTTTGAACATGCCTCATGTGTCAGTCCTAGGGAACATAGAGTGACTCAGTTACTTTCAATAAGAACTCTTGAGGGTACTGTACTGTCTATAATTTACAAGGGAAAAGTGCCAAAGCTCCACCTGCTTCCTTCATTTATACCCCTGCCTGAAAAATTTGCATCTGTTTCATTTCATTATTATATCCACCCCTAACTCAACCACTTTTTTCTCAAAGATGAGGGTTTCTTCCAAGGAACAGGAGTTTTGATGCTGGTCTTTTGTTTTGCTCAATGCTCTTGGTTTATTACACCCCTGATTTTGCTATTTTTAATAGTCATAAAACCATTTATTATTTCCATGGTATGAGCTTCATAAACTATTTTCACTTGGTTGTGTATGCTTTGATTTATAGCTATTTTTTTCTTTCAATTTGATATTTCTCTCTAAAGGAGTTCTGTACATTCACCCAGCTCTCACTAGCTCATCTTTATTCTGCTTACTTTGAACTCTTACACCTGAACTTCTCTTGGAGATCCAGATCCATCCAGCTAACTCTCTTAGGATCTCTCCACTTCTTATAAGTGCCTCAACTTACCTGAGATGCTCATCAACTTTCCCTGGACAGTACCACCACAAGTACCATGTATTTCAGAGAATGTACACTAGCCCTCTAGCTAAGAAAATCATCCTTTTTTGTCTTTTTTCTCTTTCATCTGCATACTCACCTATCACTAACCTCTTTTGACCTGTAGCCTAAATCAGTCTTGAATTTGTGTACAGTCATCACCTTAATCTACACCATCAACATCTTCCCCTTCCTTTCCATGAACTACCTTTGAATCATTCTCTCCTTCTGTCATTGAAGGGGCTGTGTGTAATATACGAATCTGAGTATGTCATTCTCCAGTTTGAAACTGTTATCTGGCTTTCATTATCATAGAAAGAAGGCCTGAATCCTTCAAATGGTCCACAAGTCATGTTTTGGTTTACATTTTTTTGTTTTCTTTTTGGGCCTGCTGGCATTTATAGATCACTAGCAGAAGAATAAACATTTCTTTCCAGTACATAGAAAATATTTGGTCAGCATAGTCTATATTCTGGGCAGTAAAGCAAAGTTCAAAAAATTGGAAAATACTCAAGTCATACAGAACCTGCTTTCTGCTTTTGGTATAACTTAGGGAATACTCCTCCAAGTCATCTTGTATCATTTTCTCCCTCTCTGTATCTTTTCCACTGGATTACTTTCTTCCATGTTGAAGTTATGTAGATGTTGTTCTCCTTGCTTGGAATGGTCAGTCTCTGCCCCCAACATTTTTCATCTAACAAACTGAGCCATCTTTTATAACCCATGTCAAGTGTCACTTTGTCTGATAAGTCTTCCCTAACACCGCTGAAAGCTTTCTAATATTCTCTATAAAATTCTGTTCTTTTCGTTCAGTTTATGATTAGGTATTCACCACTATTTTATTTATTATTTGTTTCACTAAAATATAATTTGGTTTAGCTTCCTATTTTATTTCCAAATACTAACAAATACACACCGTAATGTGCTTAAAAATACATGAAAAAGAAGTTAAGATTAAAGACATGGATTTAACTATTATAACTGTTTATTCTTGTACATAGTGTCCCAGATTTTCTCAGCTCCACAAATATTAATGTTCCCTCTACTAGGGACTTACCAGTAAATTTGACACAAATAGCATTTTTCCTCTATGAATTCATAAGCTCCTAATTGTGCACGTTTATAAAGCTGATTCTTTAGCTAGAAGACTTGCAGTTAGATGTATTCACAAGGGTTTTATTATTTTCATTTCCAAATGTTGATTCACAGTAGATGCTATCACAGCTTTTTAATCATGGTTTAACCTTGAAAATTTGGAGTTAATTTCAAAACATTTTTAATATTAGTAAATGCATATCTTTTATTAGTACAAAGCTAAATGCACATTTATTGTCCTTGCCAAATAAAATTCAGCTTTTCCATGCTTAAATAACTTTACAGGCAGCCTGGGAAGAAATTCATTACTTTGCATATTTGAGCTGTATTTGGGAGGGAACATTAGCCACTTACACAGTATAATTTTAAAAATTAACTTGTAGAATAAATACTATTTTTCAACAGTTGATGCCTGAATTTTGTAGGTGGTATCCTTTTTAACACCATACAATTAATAGAGAGTAAAATGTAGATGACTTTACCATCCTAATTTGTTTAAAAAACACTTCAGAAACTTTCAAATATTATTAATATTAGACTGTATGTTTCTGGAGTTATATTTTAAAAATGCTTAAAAGCATCGCTAGTGATATTGTCATTTCCCAACTTAAATTTTCAGAGTTGGGAGGAGAGAGTATTAAGATACTGTCGAGACATCTAACTACTGTATCTTGCTTTTCAGTCAGCTGGAAGGGGAAAGTCAGAGCTTACACATACATGGAGAAGTTTAACATTCCACAGTCTAGAAATATACAAGCAGATGTGGCAAGTGTGTGATCTCTGCAATGATTTCACTGTGTGTGCAAACTAGTTACTTTGCTGCTGGCTCACTAAGTCCACATTTATCAAGAGCCTTTAGTGCGTCAGTCACTAGAAGTGCTTAGCCTAGTGAGTGGAGCTAGTGAGTCATGGAAAAGACAAAAATGAAGATAAGTAAATTACAAGGAGATAGATATGACAAGGAGATAGGCAGAGAAGTAGCAGAACTGCTCTGTGGAACCTGAAGAAGGAGGAGCTATCAACGAGGGTTGGAAAAGGCTTTAGAGACAAACTCCAGTCTGAGTTGAATCTTGAAAGATGTGTGGAATTTATTGCCTAAAGCCATGTGAACAGAGGCCTGGCTTGGTTAAACACTAATGTGTTGTTTGTGTGAGATGAGCTGGAGTGGGGTGCGTGGGTTGTGACACCATAAAATGGTGGGGAGAAGAAGGTGCGCAGTCATCTGGCCTGAAGTCAGTCTTCCACCCCACTAAACTGCAAGCAATGTTTCTTTTGTTTTTTAACATCTGTCTGCCTCACTTTCCCTATATATAAAACAAAGATAGCAAGAGTTCCAGTTCTTAGTATTATTCTGAGATTCAAATGGACAAATACATGTAAAGTGTTCAATGCAGTCTCTGGAACATTCCAAGAACTCTATGTGCTTACTAATTAGGATGCAATTAATGTGGATATACTGGATAAATACCAGCAAAAGAGGCTAAAAGGATTGACTGAGCTGGGTGGTGAAGGTTCCCAGCTGCCAGACATTGAGGTAATCAATTAGGACAAGGAGCCAAACTTTAACAAACAAAACTGTCTCAC